ACTTTCTATATCTAGATAGTTGAACATTTGTCTTTTTTCCTAACAATATAGACATAGTGAAGCCTAGAGAGCTTACCTACTTTATAGAGGACACCAACCCAACTGTGGTTAGGTTTGTGTTTGTTTAGTAAATAAGGTTTCCAGAGGGACAGCGGAAACTTAATAGAGTATACCTTTTAATTTTGAAGGCCCTTAATGGGTAGCTCAGGCAAACTTAGAACTTCTATGCCAAAGCATCATCTTCGTCTTCACCATCATCATCATCACTATCACCAGCATCCCACTATCCCCATCAAGGTGCTCTAATCTTTTGTTTTTTCTCCCAGAGGAAAATATAGAATGAGTAAGTAGGAACGTAGAAGTGTGACCACTTTCATAAAAACAAAATAACCAGCTGGGCGTGGTGGCTCATGCCTGTAATCCTAGTACTCTGGGAGGCCGAGGCAGGAGGATTGCTTGAGATCAGGAGTTCGAGAGCAGCCTGAGCAAGAGTGAGACCCTGTCTCTACTAAAAAAAATAGAAAAAATTAGCTTGGCAACTAAAAATAGAAAAAATTAGCTGGGCATGGTGGTGTGCGTCTGTAGTCCCAGCTACTAAGGAGGCTGAGGCAGGAGGATTGCTTGAGCCCAGGAGTTTGAGGATGCTGCGCGCTAGGTTGATGCCACAGCACTCTAGCCCAGGCAACAGAACCAAGATTCTGTTTCAAAATAAATAAATAAATAAATAAACCAACCAAAATCACGTTTGTTAAGACTACTCGAATTTGCTGTTGTAGCCTCTCTAAAGGATGTGTCTCTATGGTGGAGCTTGCCCCATTTATTATGATCTGTTTTATTGTATCTCATCATTAATCACTCAAGAATTGACATCTTCCCCAGATTTTTTTCCTGCATGCTACCGGAATAATCATAGGACGTTTCCCTCTAAGTCCTGTTTGACAAGGACTGACTGAGTTCTTATATCGACAATGTGTTCGAATAACGTGTTATTCAAACATATGTAGCCAAATGTGTTTGCAGCTTCTGTGATTGTATGGGACCCCAGAGCCTGCATCTTTGTATTATTAATAACTTCACCTATCGATATATTTATTTTTTCTTTATATTAAATTTCTCATTTATTTTAATATAACTATCTTTTATACATTTTCATAAGTTAATTATTCTAAGGGTTTCAAAGACATAAATATATGCAAGGTTAATAGTAACTGTATTTTTACTCATAATTAATCCTAAAAAAATAACTATTTCCTTAGAATCACATTTGAAGTCTAATATTTTGTGGTGATATAATTGAGCCACTCACTCCTATTTATTGTATATTGTTTTCCATTTAAACAACAGGGGTTTTAATTCTGGCACAGAGCAATAATTTCACAATTCATCAGGTTGCTGTCAAGTACACTAATTAGCTACATTAGTGTTCTACATTATGATTCATATGAACACAAATCACAATCTGCAAATTTAATTGCATTCCAGGTAACAACTTTGAAACATTCAGCGGTTCCAAGCTTTTGTAAAACTGCTATTTTTCAGCTACAAGAATGTATTAGTGTAATGCTTGTTATATCATAATTATCAAATTAAATGGTACTATGTGGTAAATTTAACTGCATTAATTACATCTTGTTTGTCAACCAGATAGTGATAATGCCTTTATTCTAGATTAAGGTGTTTACAGGGAATGTACAGAAGATTTATTTTCCCCCAATAGATGCATTGCTATTTATGTTTTGTAAAATTATTATTACAAAACTCAAAAAAATTCTTAAGAAACTATTAGTCCATTTAAGTCAACTGGGTAGAATAAATAGTACTATATTAGGGTCATTCTTGAATCATTTCATTATAGAGCACATTAAATTAACAGTATTAGGAAGGAAAAAAATCCAGTGCCAAACATAATTAATTTATGAACCTTTAATTACTAGGAATATTTGTCTTCCAACAGATTTGTTGGTTAATTATTGTTTATATTGTTATAGTGAACCAAGTAGATTTATCTTGAACTTTCCCTTAGGTTGAAGAGTTCTGAACCATCCCAGACACCTCTAATTCTTACCATTCAGATTGCTGCCTTAACTCAGCCAGCTGATGAAGTCGCTTAAGTGCTTTTTCTTGTTTCTTCTCATCTTTCCATGACTTGGAAGCTACATTTCGAGCAAATTCCCGTTGCTTTAATTCTTTCAATCTCTGTGGATAAACAAGAAAAACAGAGAGGATACTATAAATAAGTAATGTATCCCTTTTCATACACAAGGCCTCTTTATTTAACTCTATACTGAGTGCAGAGGTGACTTTCTGGATAGGGAGAATAAAAGTGTCTTCTCCATCGATGCTGTTCTCTGCTCCAAGATAAATTTGATAAATAAATGTAGTTATCAACTAGGTTATTTTTCCAAGCTCATCAGAATCACTGCAGAAATGTGCTGCAAAACTGGACCCTCGTCCTTGCTGGAGTCACCCTGGCTATATAACGGCCATCATCTGTGTGCCCGTGAAACAAATGGGAAAAGTGTGCAATATATGAATGGGTATGAAGGGAGAGAAGGTTTTGGGGTACACCTTCTCCCCCCACACCTGCTCCTGCTCCTCACCTGTAAAATTGATTCTTTTAAATACACTGAGTGGAATCAGCTTGTTTCAGTAAAGAGCATCTTTTCCTGTGAAAGATTTATTTCCAAGCTCTAAATGGGATTCTTAATTCATTTTTTTGGTTGGAAATATTCAGCAAATGCAGATTTTTATGTTGTGTCCAGGAAGACAAAAATGGGCCAGGGATTTAAACTCAAGATAGAGGTTTGGCTTTTTTTGATTTAAGTTAAGCTACTACTTCTTTTAATTAATCTTTTCTCTAAAACAATTGATTTAGATGCAAATTGGATGCTGCTCATTAGCTGTTTGCATTTCTACTTTAGATTCTGCCACGAAAAACACCTAATGATATTGAAAAAATTGAGAAACAGCCACAATCAAATGAACAACTTGAAGTTTGGAACTTAATCCTGAATTGGGAGTATATTTGCAGATTAGCTTCTCTTAGCTCATACAGAGTGATTTTAATCAGTCTAAAATCTGTATCTACTTGAGCATTGTAGGGGGGAAGGGCATGCCCCTAACCCTTGCTTGGGTGAGGCAAAGACATAAAGTGTAACCTTAATGTTTGTACCCTCATAATTCCCTGAAATAAAAAAAAAGAGAGAGAAAAGATGTTTCCCAGGTATGGGGAAAACTACACAGCTATCCAGTGAGGTAATATTACTGTAGCAGACTATTTCCCACCCATAGAACAAGGGGCAAACTTTTAATCATTAGCTCATTCTTGAAAGGGAACATGCTCATGGGAGATGATGGCCAGATAACTGCATCTAAGCAAAGTATCTAAAGGCGGAGGCAGACCAGCCTTTCAAAGAGAGAATATTCTGAGCACAAAGAACAAGAACGTCACAGAACTAGAAACAGCTTCAGGGAGAACAGTGGAGTCAACCAGAATTCAGTTTTTGACAAAAACTTCAGATCTTTCTAAAAAATAGAAAATTTCAAGAAATAAAATTATGCTCTATGTGTGATCAGGGAAAAAAACCTCAATAGTACCCTAGAGCTTATAAACAGCAGAGGGTCTGAGCATTAAAGGGTAGATAGCCTTGTTCAGAAGATAGGAAGAAAGGCTTTTAAAATCCCCATTTCTATATGCCCTCCTACTCACACTTCCTCAGACCCCATATGCTTGATAACCTAGTTCTCAGAGTGAGGGCTTGTCTTACAAGCAAAGACCTTTTGGAAATTATCCTATGAAATTTAAGAGCACACATAAAATTCAATTCAACTAAGTCAAAGAGAGAAGATGGCTATTTTGGAAAAGAGGAGAGGGCTTTTTTATTTTTCTCTCAGTACTGAACACTGACTACTATATACTATATTCATTTAATATTTGGTATTACCAGCACATAAAATTTGTATAACCTAAGTGAAAAATTGATTCATTTACTCGAAACAATTAATACTTGACTCATTTTTGGCATCTTGTTTGAAAATTTAGGGTACACTTGTTTCTTTTATTAGCCTCTGAGATTCTGAGGCTGTACTTTTATTTCTGAGTTATAGAAATGATTGAGAATTCTATCTCATTCACCCAATAACAAATACTGTTAATTCTCACTATGTTAATTCCTACTGTTTCTACCATGGGGTATGCCAATGTACAAATCAATTATTTTCCCTTCAAGAGAAATAGAAAGTAAACAGATCCTTCTACAAGATAGTGCTGAGTTTCTTAATAAGGGTGTACACAACATGCTTTGGAAACAGATAGGAATAGTTAAGAGATTTGTTGTGTTCAGGGAGTCAACAAAGTCAAAATGTTTTAAGGGACACACAAAACTGGAAGAAGAAATTTTGTTTAGCGACATCTTGCCACGGGTTCGACTTAGCCAGGGCCAAGTGCTCATGTCTGCATAGAGAAAAAAATCCCAGAGATCTGCCTCAAGTTTTCAGTGTACTAATCAGTGCATCTGTGTGAGGAAATGACTTCAGGCCAGGAAAAGAGTCACCTGAAATAATTTTTAAAAACCAAACAACCGAAAAACAGTGCCTAGCATTCATATAAGACCAGGAATAGTGTCTGTTCTCATCAAGAAAACTGGAAAAACTCATAGGACCTTGAGTAGAGAATTCAGAAAAGTCTTGCTTCAGTAGAGAATAATTGGCCATAGATTGAGCACCACTTAGGACTTGCCTAACAGATCATAAAAGCAAGAAATAAAAGTATAAAACTGATTCCAAGTAATTTAGCTGAAGAACAAAACCAAACACTAGGACATGGATAGCAATACAAAAAATAGTCAGCAAAAACAAGGAGAAGTCACTGATATATAGCATCCAATCAAAGAATATCAAGTATGCAAAGAAGCAGAAAAATACAGCTAAAAATAAGGAAAATAGTCAACCATTAAAACCAATACGGAACTAACACAGATGCTAGAATTAGCAGAGAAGAGCATTAAGACAGTTACAACCGTATTCTACATGTTCAAAAAGTAGAGAAGAGACAGTGATCATTAAACAACGTGTAATTGGAATCTCTGAAGAAGAAGGAGGGGATATTTGAAAAAAAAAATAATAAGAGAAAAACGTTCATATTTTCTGAAAACTATAAACCCACAGATCCACCCACCAATAAACCTCAAGCACAGAAATGTGGGGAAAATTACACCAAGGCTCATTATAATCAATTTTTTCAAAACCTGTAAAAAAGTCAAATTGTTACAACATCCAGAGAAAAAAGATACATTTGTGAACAGAAGAAAAAAATAGGATGGCAGAAGAATTCTCATTGGAAACAATGCAAGTGAGAATACAGTGAAGCAACATCTTTAAATTTCTAAAAGAAGAAAAAAACCTGTCAAAATAAAATTTTATACCAAGTGAAATAGCTTCTAAAAAAGAAGGTGAAATATAGATGTTTTCAGACATGCAAAAGCTGCTAGAATTGCTAGCAGACACACAAGATAAGAAATCTTCAAGAATATCAGCAGGCAAAAGGAAAATAAGATCAGATAGAAATGTGTGTCTACACAAGAGAATGAACAGAAGAAATGGTAACTACAAGGATAAATACATAAGGTGTTTTTCATCCTATTTTAATGTATTCAGACTGTTTAAACAAAAACATTAACTATGTTTTTTGAGGTTTATGTCAAACTTATAAAGAAAATATACAACAACAATA